GAGTTTTGCAAATCAATAGGAGCAGATTCTAAACAAAGGCAAGGCCTAATTCGACTAGCAAAGAAAAATGGAGAAAGACTTGGATTCCTAGCATGAATGGATATCATTGTAATGTACTTAAATTTCACCCAAAAGAGACATTTTAGATTATGTATTAAGAATATCTAGAAAAAAGTACACCTTCATTTGAGTTTGCTCTTGAATTAGTAGAATAGATTGAAACCAAATTTTCTTGAAATGCTCTACAGAAACTATAATGACATGTTTAAAATGTTGGATGAGACCGTGAAAAAAAAATAACCGAAGAAGCACAAAATGAGTTAGATGAGAAAAAACCCATGAAACGCCTTGAATGGTATCAATCAAATTACCAAAGATCTTCTCCAAATATGACAGCAATATATATATGAATCTCATGAGCTACTGATGTGATTAATTTGCCGTAGAAAGTAGGTCAAACTGATCTATATTGCAGGGATCTTCACCACATTGTAGCTGATCTTTCCTTTGTAGAATCACTCTCTAATAACCAAGGGAAAAGAAAGACACCTTTGTGCAAAATAATGACATTCCTCCCTTTGCTCACCTGCATCACGAGCTGCCTTGTGCGTATAAAATGTAAGGTTATGCCATAAAGGCTCAAGGTTTAGAAAAACATTAGAAACATTGCACAGTATTCTACAAAAGATGCGAAAGGAACAAGAGGGAACGATAAAAATCGTCTCATGCAGGAAGCTTCAATGCTACATAAAGGGAAGTGTCAAAAACTTAGTTGATAATCAAATATCAACTCAACCCATGCTAATAATCAAAACAGAGAAACAAAGTATCTTATTACCAAGTGAAATAAAATCTGAGCCGCTTCATTTGTTGTAGTCTTTGTCAACGGCCAAAAGGTTGTCTTGCTTTTAGCACACACTAGAATCCACTCCATGAATCTCATCAACCTAGTCAAATTGCACTCCAATTAGAACCATCAACTAACCAACAAAAATCCAGTACGCCAAGACATAAAATATGAACTAGTTCAACAGGGATATAAACCAAAACACCAATTATGTCATAATTAAACCGCGAACATCAGAGTGAAGAAGTCATTCTTCACAGTTTCAAGCCATGTATTGTCGAGATTAGCCTTTCAATTGCTAGTAACAATCCACTTCCCTCCATTAGTGCACTCAGTGCATGTCTTGTACACAGTTAAACAGGATTGAAAAGCAATACACTATTTTAGCTTCGTTTTCATCTTTAATATTGTCCAGCTTACCAGAAAAACGAAGAGGGACGGTCTTCCCACTTGCGCTTCATGCCAGCCTAAATATCCGATCCTGAAAAGTTGAAAGAAATCCAGTTCCATCAAGAGAAGCAAGTAGAGTAATCGGTGCAGTTAGTCATTAAGTTCCAGTCATCTGGAAAAGGAGATGTGTACATCATGCATAACTGACTATCAAGTGGTATCAGACTATTTCAAAGAGGCTAAAGGCTAAAAAGGGGTATCAGACTATCAACACTGCTTGCAATACTTGCTCATTGTGTTCAAGTTTACTTCAAGTATAAAAACTATTTCTTCAAACCTTTTTTGCATTATCATTATTATGAGATTACTATTCATCCATTGAAGACAATTCACATCTAACAGAGTACCCAAGCATCACTGGTCCAATAAGATTATTTGCATCTGGCCTTTTAAACAGCCTCATAAAAAGGTATTCAAAGAGATTCAAGGCAACAGCAAAAGTACCAATAAACTATGGAACAACTATATGAATAGTTTTTCGCTATTCCATTCTATTTAGAACTGCCTATAGTGAAACATCCCATCAGACCAAGTCCACTTTAGTTCATGGAAATTTTGAAATTAGAAACCAAGCCTCTGTCTTTCCAAAGTAAGAACCAGCAGTTTTCAAAACTTAGATTTTGATAATGAAGTCTTTAAAAGGAAAGAAAAGAGTTTAAACTCACCTTTCAGGCCTTTTTCAAATGCCAGCCCACACGTCTGAATGCAACCAAAGAAAACTTTTCTATGCAATCCAGAGGTACGCTTGATATTCAAAAAAAAAATTGATATAGACATAAACGATGTCATAAACCAGAAAGGACCAGCCAGTCAAACCAAAAAGAAAAAGATCAAGGATTGGCACATAAAGATTCAGGATGGAAATCAAGGCGGATCACCTAGTTTACAAGCTGTGACTGCATTTTGTCAATTGTTAAACATTTAAAAGTATTCTAGATTTAAGGACTTTGAATGGACTAAACTGGATTTGACGAGCTAGTCTTTTAGGGGCAATAGTTGTTTTAGGAAGTTTCTGATAGGGTTAGGACCATTATATACTAAATTCTCAAGAATCAGTTCCATTTCAGTAAAATTATATACTAAATTCTACAGGCCTGAAGTGTTCTCCAAGTAGAATAAAGAATACAACTCCGAAGAAGAAATATGTTAGCTTATTCACTCTAAGATCATTCTTACATTAACTAGGTCCGCAAACAACTCTGTCAAATTTGATATTTTAGACAGCAAACCTAAAATTATCAAAATAACCACGCCTTGTAAAGTTTCAGAGAAAGCCACCAAAACTGATAATCAGTTAACTTACTCAAAGAAACCACACTAAAGTACTTTTACAGAACATTTGCTTGCCCCAAAAGAGAAGTACAATTTCTAAATATGATCATCATCTTGATCAAATGTTTGTCGATTCCTTCAGCTGTTTTACTTTTAGCATCATTAATTTTCATTTTTTATATTCGAAAAATGAAATATAATAGTGAAATCATTAGTTCAAACAACAATTTCATGCATCAATGATTTATCTACGAAAAAATGATTTTAGCTTCTGAGCAAAAACCATAATTCCTAACAGATAAACACAAAACTGTTCAGTGATATAAAAGTGAAAACAGTCAAAACAAAGTTCATACAGAAGAGAAGTTGACTTAAAATGAAGAAGAAAAAACACGCGCACACCCACATAAAAGAGAACATGTTTGTAGTCATTTACAGATTTAGGGGACAAGATATTTGTAATTATAAGTAAAAGACAAAAGCGCACTTTAATGAAAACAATTTATCGAGTCCTTTCATTCTTCAATAGCAATACTAAGAATTTTCACAGCTTCAAGGTCAAGTCCAACTCATCAGGGTTAATGTTGTCACCACCTTCATTATGTTTGATCATTCTTGTCTCTCTGAGGGGATGTTTTGATTGCTGAATGTGTTGTGCAGCCATATTGCATGAAGGAACTAGAACAACTACCAGCCTGTGGTCTAAAGTCCCCTCTGATTGTTTGAGTATTCCCTAAAAGTCGATTTTCAGTTTGGCCATGGAGTAAATGTATCCCATCTTATTGCTGACGATGGTGATGGAAGGCCACTTCTCTCGACTGCATGGAATTTTGTAATGGTGTTGGAATAAAATTATAACCTGCACGGTCTTGTTGTTATGGTGCAGCGTTAGTGCTATTACAAATTTAATTCGTGATCTCTGACGAAGAGTGAGCATTTTGGACTGATAGAACACTTCTGCTAATAAATAAATATCACGTGGTCGAAATTTGATTGGGCAGACTTGGCCTCCTTGTAACATTTTCAGATTGTTGAATATTTCTATTATGGTAGTCTTAATTGCTCGAAGACATCAATAAACAAATACAAGAAATGACAAAAGAAAAATGCACCGAAAAGATAAGAAAGAAGTAGAGGTGCAAGGCTCTCACAAAGTGGGTGTATTTATACTCACCCAGTATTGAATAACGATAAGAAATGCATTGATTGCATTCACTACATCCAATCAAACTTTCGGATATGTTTGTTACCTTTTACCAACTTAGCGTAAATGCAAATTTCCTCAAATTCCATTAATGGAATTTATAACTATGACTTGGTTAAAAGTCAAGCTCTTCTATTTCTTTTGATAGTCTGAATTGCTCGCAAATATTGCAAAATAAATATAGAAAATCACGGAAAAAGGTGTGGGAAAGATAAGAAAGAAGTAGAGCCAGCCATCGACGGTGCAACATTAGTGCAATTGCAAATTTCATTCGTCAGCTTTGACAAAGAGTTACCATTGTGGAATGATAGAACACTCTGCTAAATGAAATCAACCAAAATGCTCTTTCTTCGCCGTGGGACTCAAAGTGGACTAGGAGTCTTTTGATATTAAAAAAAGAACAAATTATTAGACAAGTGACATTTCACTGGGGCTTGGAGATGTGGCCTCCTTGTAACATTTTTTATTGTTGAATGCTTCTACTATGATAGTCTGAATTGCTTGCAGACATCACAAAATAAATAGAAGAAATCACCAAAAAAATGCATGAAATAGATAAGAAAGAAGTAGAGGTGCGAGTCTCCCCGTGTGCTTTGCAAAAATCAGTTTTTGCACTCTGTACATCCTTCCAGCTTGCACCTTTTTCCACCACCATGATGAACACAATAGTTGGTGCGCCCTCTTGCACTCTTAGTACACTCAAGTTCAGTTCATCTCTTGCCAGCACCATGACTAACACAAAATGAAGTTCCCACATGCTCGCTCTCTGTGCACCCTTTAAATTGACATTTTTTGCCCCAGCCATGACTTTACAGAATGAAGTGCTCTCTTCTGCACATATTGTGCACCACAAAAACGTGCATCTTCTGCTACCACTGTGAGCTTTACAGAACATTGTACTCCCTTGGGCACCCTTTGAGCACCAAGGATATTAGCACCGATGGCCACCTTCATGGGATATGCAGAGACCAGAAATACCATCAGCACTCTTGGTGCAATTTTCAATCTTGTACCTTTTGCCGCCGCATGACAAATACAAAATCCCATCTTACCTCTTGCTGCATGATGGCAACCCACGAGAGTGCAGTGCCTACCACCTCCATGGTCCATGCCCTATACAGTAGTTGAATTTAAGAGAAAAAATAAAACAATACAAAGAAAATAGAATTGTA